CAGAAGCTGACCTCTATCCAGGATGCGCTTAGAGACAGGGGACAGAGGTCCCAGAAGCTGACCTCTATCCAGGATGCCCTTAGAGACAGGGGACAGAGGTCCCAGAAGCTGACCTCTATCCAGGATACATTTAGAGACAGGGGACAGAGGTCCCGGAAGCTGACCTCTATCCAGGATGCCCACTGCTATATGGCAAAGTATATAAGGGGATGTGTAAAGCCAAGGTATAGAAAAACGCTCTGGCCAGTGAAAAGCTGAACCTGAGCTGGGAGGCCTCCACCCAAGCTGCGGGTGCTACATCTCTACACTGCCTCTCCATCCATAGAAAGGACTAGCAGCAGCAGATATGTCCAGCCTTGCCCAAAGTTGGGCCTCCTGGAAGGACCACTATCCTCACCACCATCATCAATCATCTCCCCAGTTACTGGCTGGACCAGGCTTAGGTTTGCCTCCCAATAGCAGAGAAGAACCCACATTACATTTTCAAACAAACTCATAATTCACTCATATTTGCCCGTGTATATTGGACGTTATATAAGGGTTATGTTAATTACTTAAAAATATAGTAATATCCAAACTGCTGTGGTTGAGCACTTGAAATGCTTAACTTCATAAAATGAATCACGGTGAAGTCCACACCATCCCAACTGCTCATCTAATTCATTAGTTGTCACACAGAAAAGCTACATTGATGAATAGCGTGAAGAGCTGTCTGTTTATAACAACTGTTTGGAGATATATATAAATTACCCCTTAGCTGTAAGAAATAGTTGCCTCAGTGTTAGCTATGCATAAAAATGTTGTTCGTTTCTGAAGACGTGAGGCATTGTACACCAGCTAGCTGGGAGACTTTTATTTACATTGATTAATTTGAGCAGAACCCAAAAGAAGTTCCTTTTTTCATCAAAGGAATTGTTTTTGATTAGTGGAACAGTAATAAAAAGGGGAGGAAATGAGGGGAACCCAACGATGGCAAAGAAACAGTGGTTCTTGCTCCTCTGCCACATCCCTCTGCACATCCCAGCAGAAGACCTTGAAAGAGCGGAACTCATTCCATCTTTCGTTAAGAAGAGACAAAGAGTGTGAGTCTGAGACCCACTATGCTTTTCCTCCTGGGTCCTGCCTGAGGTTGAAAAAGGATCCATTCACCTGTTCTATCTCCTTTCCTTTTCATGTTTTATAACCGGAACGAACCACACAGAAAGAGGAGAAGGATTTGGCAGTGGACCCAGGTGGCTCCCCAGATCACCCTTCGAAGACATGGCTAATCATTTGCTTGCTACTTTACAACCACAGAGACGGCAACACACAAGCTCCAAGCACTAAAGGTGACCTCATATCATATCATAACTGTCCCTGATTATGAAAGAGCTGTCTCATTGTCATTGTCAACTGCTAGCCTATCAGACGATGGGAAGGTGACATCATGGCCACCTACTTCTTTCATGACAGAGACAAGAGTGGTATTGCCACCATCATCTGCACTGTCTGCAAGCCTGGATGGGACCTTGAGACCAACTTAGATCCACTCAGGACCACAGGGATGGAAACCTGCCTCAGAATGAATTCATGTTCAGCCTCCCCTACACCCATATGGCCTTGGACTGTCTATGTCTTCTGCTGGGTCATTCTTTGGAGCGACACCTCTTGTTGTACAGATGGGCCTGAAGCTAAGAGGGGAGGAATATAATTTGGCGAAAGACACTACCATAGCACAGAGATGGTTTGAGGGATCATTTGTAGTGCCACAGTAACTGATAAGGCAAATGGTCATCCAGTTACTGAAAACATATTGGCCCTGATTAGTGTTGCTTTCCGTGAAGTCAGATGGATGAATTTAAGGAGTATTGGAGGAGAGCTGGGAAAAACACCCCACCAAGTGTGCAGATCACTTTGGATTTGTAGGCTATAATTTCAGTTTCGTTTAGCAGATTTCAAGGGTCGTCTGCACTTTGCATTGTTTTGAATTGCAAAATCTTATTCATTTCGTATGTCAGAGTCGTCTCCGGTGCTTTTACCTGACCTTGTAGTTTTATTTGAAACCTTAAACATACTGTCTTGTGCCTTAAGATCAGAATCTTTCCCTGTATGTTGCAATGGCATGTTTTGTGCTAATTGTGGAGGCATAATTTCTTAGGAATTTTATAATTAGTCATTTTTAATGAAAATTAATGCAAAAGAGATACACAAATAATTAATATCTAGAAGCCTCTCTGACTTTAGGAAGCAACCAGGTTCCATCTGCCATCAGACTGTCAGATGAATGGCATGCAAATCAGAGTGGCTGAGTACCAGCTCTGAGTACCAGCTCTGAGTATCACATCTGAGTACCACCTCTGAGTCAAAGACACACTCTTCTTACTTCAAGCACTTCAGCTTCCTGTTCATGCGCCACGGCCTGCTCTTCAAGCTGGCGATGAACTTTTTCTTCTCCTCCAACTCTTCCTTCAGTCTCGCCGCCTCCATTTCTGCCACCGACTCCTCATCTGACTCTTCACTCGAGGAGGTGGAGGTTCTGCCAAGAGAGGACCATGATGACGGATGGGTCACCTGTGGGGAGGCTGTAGTTCTTTTCCAGTGCTATTTGGGTAAATCCTGATAAACTGGCACTTTCACAAACCCATCAGTAAATCCATTAATGCCCAAAGGAAGCCTTAGAAAACCTATGAGCAATTCTTCGTGTCTAGTGAGGGAAGGCGATTTGTGTAGTGCACCTGTAGTTCATTATCTGACTTTTATGATCATCTTCATATCCTACATCACTGGTTTTGCGCTTGGAACGTCCCTTCTCACATTCTTTGGGATCTCCCTTCCTGATGACGGTCCCATTCTTCTGTTTCTCCTTCCAGGCTTCCTCATTCTCCTCTCCGTCGACGCAGAGCCTAGCAGACGTCCTTTTAGCGGTTTTTCTCGCCCTTAGATCCACCTCCTCGTCTTCCTCACTCTCGCCCCGAATGGCTGCCCTCTGGCTGTTGCAAGCCAAAGGCCGTTGGTCAGCTGTGCCGCTCCTGTTCCATGTGGGGAAGGATCTGGGGTCTCTCAAGCTCCTCGTGCCATTTCCTCTTGTGCTCTCTGAGGAGATTAACAATGACCAAACAAATATCTTATTCAGAGTTAGAGCAGTATGAAAAAATGCACACACATACACATACAGTATACACACAAACACAGACCAGTACCCATATCTTTGTGGGGACCATCCATTGATTGCTATGGGCAAAACCCTAGACCCAGCAATGACGACCTTAAGCACTGCCCAGCCCTAATCTTAACCAAACAAAATATGACACAATTTTACTTTTTTGATTGCATTCACAGATCTTTGTGGGTACCTGAAAAATGGTCCCCACAACATCAAAATAGCAGGTTTTCATTACATTGTGGGTGACATTTGGTCCCCCAAAATATAATATAAACAGGGTTTGTCCTTTAAGGTGCGCAATTGCGCGTGCACGCCATCACGCGCCTAAAATGGTGAAGAGCTGCGCAAAGAAATGCGCGCCTATCAATAAAAAAGAATTAAATTGTACGCGCCTCATAATTTGTCACGTGACCAATCGACGCTCCACGGAATTATTCATGACAACAATGGCGTCGAAAAAAAGCATGGATAGCAAGGGTCATCCGTGTCAGAATGTTTTTGGGGAG